CTCGATCTAAAATATAATGTCACGCCAGCACAAATCTGCGCTAATTATTCTTCAAAAGGACGTATATCCCAATGCACTACATGGACATGGATAGCATTTTCGTAATGAATACGAAAATAAAGTCAGTTAGTGCAGCTTTAAATGTAAATAGTCCAGTAAGCACTGTATTTATCGATCAAAGTTCTATTCCAAATAAGAAATATTCATGCTACAGTCTACAAAAAATATATATAAAAAAGTAGGAAATAATTGCTTGAATCAAGTGGTTTTCATCAAATTTCAAGCACAATCGGACCATCTTAAAACAAAATTTTCCAAAGAGACAAAGCCATTTAGTCTTAATTCATGATCTGTTGCTTTATTTTCTAATTACAAGAAAAATTTCTGTATTTTTTTGTGTGCTCAAATTAAGACAAATTTTACCAAATTTAAGCAATTGTTGACGTATTTTTCCTCCCTTTTTGCAGTGTATACACAAATACAGACACACACACACACAGTAGAAGAAGAGTAGGTCCAACAGATGTGCAGATAGTGGTCTGATGTGATTACAGTGGGATTATGTGCCCAGGTGATGTATGGGAAATCGGTATCTCTGCGCGGACAGCTAAAGATCTCACATGCAGCGTGGATTACGGCTCTAATGCACAGACGCTAAACAAATGCCAACACAGATCCACCCACCTCTGAACATAAGAACAAAAGCTCCTCAAGCCTCGCGTCTGCTTTACTAAACCCCAGGACTGGCCACGGGGAGAAGACTCAGGATCATGGGTAAAAATGGAGGAATGGGGGTGACTGTAGTCTGTTCATTGCTGTTCTCCTGCTGTCCCAATGTCTGTTTCGTGGGGTGATAATGGAATTTCAACCCGGTCTCGTTCATCTGCACCTGTTTATTTATAAGTTTACTTACTTCCAAAAAAATCAATAATAATAATGCATCGGTTTTATATAGCACTTTTCTGCACACTCAAAGACGCTTCACATGTGTCATTATTCATTCACTCCATACACAGTGGTGATAAACTACTACTGTAGCCACAGCTGCCCTGGGGCACACTGACAGAAGCGAGGCAACCAGTCTGTGCCATCGGCCCCTCCGACCACCACCAACCATTCACACACACACACCAGACTCATTCTAGGCAATGGGGGTAAAGTGTCTTGCCTAAGGACACAACGGCAGTTTGGCACTTTACAGCCGCAGCCACCCCACTGTGGCTGGTGTTCCCAGAGGTTAAGTGTCTTGCCAAGGACACAACAACAGTAGTCAGTGGGAGTCGATGGTGAAAGTCCTGAGCGGGGCTTGAACCCACGACCTTCTGACTCAAAGGCCAACGCTCTACCAACTGAGCTACTGCCGCCCAAAGGAAGTAAGTCAACTTTATTCATATAGCGCTTTATGTTGGACTAGAGCAGAGAAAATGGTCCGAACCAAGCGGCTGCTCCACCTCTGCTGCTGTGACCTGAAGGGCTGTTGCGTTTTGATACTATTGTTTGCTGTTTACAGGCTTCTCCTGTTCACATCCAAATAACGCCTTTGAGCAAAACATGAAACATGTTGATAATATTGAGAGCATAGAAGCAAAGCTAACCGAAACATGCTTTTATAATACATCCACACGAGGCACACACTGCATTTATCCGCTTGTATATGCATTAGCGACACTGTTCCTATTTATATGGTAATATCACTGTGGACCAACATGTGACATCACAAAGAAGGATTGGCTTTTAACAGATCTTTATGCCCATGGCCAAAAAAGCCCAAACTCAAGACTTTAGACCTGGTTTAGTTCTAGTTTAGTTCAATCTGGTCCAGTTTAGTAACAGTTATCCTAGTGCCAGAACTAAACCAGAACTAAAGAAGGGGTAAACCAAGATTTGGACTAAACCAGGGTTAAACCAAGACTAGAGTAGGACTAAACCAGAGTCAAATAAGAACGAGATTAGAACTAAACCAGAGTTAAACCAGGACTAGATTAGGGCTAAACTTGAACCATAACTTGGTATATCATATTTTCTTCTTACAACAATAACAGCTTAAAATACTACATTTATACAATAACTCTGATCATATAAAAACATATTCACCTCCCTATGTCGAGTCCCGTTTTAATTATATTCACTTTTATTAGTTTAAGAATTCATCCCCGTCATCGTCTCATTCAGAAACAACATCACGACTGAATCAGAATCGTTTTTAGCAGAAATGTGCAAAAGGCAAAGGCTGCAATTATTCAGATTATATTATGTCGAAAGCAGGATTAGAAAAACATGGGTTAGGTGGTATTTCTGTAAATGTAGTTTGGCTGTTTTATCTGCTGATGGAAAAGCACGTCCAGTCTTATCAAACTTAGTTTCAATTACAAATGAAATTTAAGTGAGAATTTAATTTAAACAGTAAAAATAAAGAAAATACAACTTCAAATATCTTTTCCAGATTCCAGTTTTCTCTCAGATTTACATTTCCTCGCTTCAAAACACATATGGTTGGTACCTGGTGATCTTGTCGGTGCAGGACATGGTGATGAGCTGCTCTCCCTGAAGAACCCCGTCCCAGGTCTGGACCGGACCTCGGCTCCGCACTGGGACCGTCCCTTCTCCAGACTCCATCTTTGAGCGGAGGTGACTGCGCTGCTTCCTGACCCAGTGTCTGCTGCTGTGCACTGAGGAAACACACGAGCATCAGCTTCATACTGCGCTTGTTTGGATGCTTCACACGTCATTATTCATTCACTCCACACACAGCAGTGATCAACTATGGAGCCATTTAAAGGTTTTTAGACACAAAGACAAGACACAACAACAGTTTGGCACTTTTCAGCCGCTGCCGCCCCACTGTGGCACCTGGTGTTCCCAGAGGTCTCCCATCACAGTACTAACCAAAGGTTAAAGGTGCACACAGAAGTTCCTGGTATTAGCGTGGATGGATCTAAAAACAAGTCTAACTGTATTTTACACAAGGCTGATTCCTTCATTGTTATTGATGCTCTAATCTCATCTCAAATCTTTCACTGAACAATCTTTCTTAGGTATGGTGCTTTTGTGTTCTACAGTAACTTTACAACTGTAGCCACAGCTGCCCCAGGGCAGATTGATTTAGGCGAGGCTGCCATTCTGCACCATCATTCCTGTATCCACCAGGTCTGTGCAAAGACCATGTGGTGACAATAGTCATGACTGACAGAACACAGTAGTTTACTTTTATACATTTAAAACTCACTTCATGGAGGCGTCATGGCAACATCCTCCTGTCAAACCTTTCTCTGTGGGCGGTTTATGTCTATTTTTAAGGTTGAAAACCAAACAACATGTTTTATAACAGAATTAAGCTCTACACAGTCTCATTATTTATTTTGCTAATATTCTTTGCGTTTTAAAACCTTTTCAAACAGTAGCCGCTGATCACAGCAGGGCTAATGTTTGCGTCATGAATAAAACATGGGATTAAAACATGCTCTGATTTTGCAACAAAATTCAGGCTCAACGTGATTTTCGAACGCTTCATTTCAGTCGCATTAGTTTCAGTTGTGACAGAATGAATCCGCTGTGCGTCCGACACAAGAAATATACTTAGCAGTTTTTAAAAGATCCAGAAACGTGTTTGTTTGTCTTGGAACAACGCAGTCATGAGGCTGGAGATTGTAGCAGAGGAAGGCACAACACACGCAGCTAAATGAAAATAAATGTTGTTTTGAAAGACTAAGCAGTAAAATGTGATCCAGTCAGCAGCATGAGCACAGAGAGGGAAAATTAACCTCGAGATGTTGGGATCGGCCGCTGGTAACCGGCTGTGACATTTATGCATAAAGAGAAGGTTTATTTTTAGAGCTCGTATAAGAGGAGGTCACAGCAAAAACAAGATGGCCGAGCAACACCAGATGTAAATGGGAAAAGTCACATAAATATAATAAATAATATCGCCTTCTGTTTCTCAATGATTACACTACACTCTGAGGTTGTGTTAATACTGTCAGACAAAAGTAGATGGAGACTAGGGCTGTCAAAGAATTACAATTATTAATCGAGTTAATTAATTAATTGTAATTAATCACATTTCTAACTATTTTTCTGTAAATGGTTGTTTAAATGGAAATTTTTTTTACAACTGCAGTGCATGTAAACACAGCAACACGTATCCTCTGGAGAGACCTGCGGGTGCGGACCGCCTCACACAAACTTTGGACGCAAAACTAGCGGTAATCTTTCAGTTATTGTACTGTATATTGTGTTGGCAGTGCGTTGCTTTGGTACCATTTCATCAGTGATTGTTGTACAGCTTATAAGAAGTTGTGCTAATGCTAACTAACGCCTACCTGCTCTGTCACCATCAGTGGGGGCGGGTCCTGGATCAAAAGTGGCCAAAATGAGGTGAGCTGACATGCTGCAATACCACCCCGGGCCGATGGGGGGGGGGGGACCCGGATTGAGAATTATTCAGATTCATTTATTTGCCATTTGCAGTAAAACCACATTGGAAAAACTGTGCAAGACTACACCGGTGTGCACCAGACAGAGAAGACGACACACACCAGAGCTCTTGCCACGGCGCCATCTTTACGGCGCCATGCGACAAACAGTAGAATAAACAGCAGAGAGCAATAACATACAGTATCACAGACAGTTGGATAGACACATTGTGCTTTGTATAAACCACGGATTTTTTCACGGGATGAGCACCTCCGACAGCAATGCTTCAATGCTAACATATAGCATTAGCTAACATCTCGAAAACGTCTTGATAGGATGGTCCGATGCATGATAGGATGCATGGGAGGCTCATTCGGCACATGCGTTAATGCGTTAAAAAAAAATTGCGCGATTAATGAAAAAAAATAATTAATGTGCGTAATGTGCGATAATTTTGACAGCCTTAATGGAGACATAACTATACATTATTACACAAAAATATAATACAACACGACTCCCACTGATGACTGCTGTTGTGTCCTTGGGCAAGACACTTAACCCCACTTTGTCCGAAGCCCCCACTGAAAGATCTCAGCTCCTGTGGACTCACCACCTGCAGGAGGATCAGTGAGGGGCGGGTGCTAAGTGTACTGGGTGCAGCTCTGACTGCCACTCCTGAGCCAGACATGGATTAAGTGGAAGAAAATGGATGGATAGATGGATAATAAAACCCCCATTCTTCACTTTCTCTCTATACACACACACGCGCACACACACACGCACACACACACACACGCGCACACACACGCACGCACGCACACACACACACACGCACACACACACACACAAACACACACACACACACACACACACACAAACAAACACACACGCGCGCGCACACACGCACGCACACACACACACACACACACAAACAAACACACACGCGCGCGCACACACGCACGCACACACACACACACACACACACACACACACACAAACAAACCCACACGCGCGCACACACACACACGCACGCACGCACACACACACACACACACACACACACTTCTTACAGTCACTGGAGACTTCGTACGGCGAGTGGACCCTGGCGTCTCCGCACGGCGAGGTGCTGATGTACATGTGGAAGTGAACGTTCTCCTTTAGCCTGAAGCTGCTCTCTCTGTGCCGAGTGAAGATAGACTCCTCCCAGTCCTCCACACGCTTACTGCAACACAAAACACACAACACAACACACAACAGTTATCTACATGTTCTGGACATTCAGTACATCAGGGGTTTAGAGTATTAGGGGCCAGTTTTAGTTCAGCAAAATGGACTGGATTCAAGCTGTTCTGAGCTTCAAACTTAGGTATGGCATGTCTATTTTGGTTAGACATGAAGTTGGCTGAATGACAAAAGAAGTAGCACTAAAGACATAAGGAATTTGTTACAGTCCATGTTTTATGACTAAACAAGAGCAGAAAATACACTCATGACCTCCCTCATTTATCTGTTGAATCTCAAATATCTTAAATATTTGTGAGAGAAAAGAAACATTCAATACAAATCCAACAAATCTGGTCTTTACCTTCACCTTGTGTTCTTTCAATCGTTCAGAGTTTGTCACGAGTTTGTCAAAAAAACACACTCAGACCTGACAGGTTGCATAAATACAATCACAGATATATCATTTTGCCGTGAACCCAGTATAACCAAGTCAAATTTGTGTTTCTACAACTTCATTTAGACCAGGGGTGGTAACTGGTCAAAGTCAAGGTTTGATTGGAAGATTTTTCGAAAGAAAGCAAAAACAACTCGTACGTAAGAGTTTTAGGCCACACTTGAGATCACGGGTGTCAAAGTCAAGGCCCAAACTTGGGATGCTTTTTGATTAGTATTAGAAGCGGCCGCACAGAGCCAAAGAAAATATTGGTTCATTCATTTAATGTTCAGGAAATGTGTTTTCTCTTTGAGGGAAGTCTGTTTTTCTGTTGAAATTACTCACAAAGCCATGCAAAAACATTGAATTATCAATTTAATCATTAAATATAATACGGTCCACTGTGTTAGGTCTTGGTTCAATAAGTTATTTGCAATTATTTTAATGTGTTTTAATAAAAATTGAACCAATCCCGCCCTCGGCTTGAAGAATTTTTTTTTTTTTGGCTCTCTGATGTATTTGACTTTGACATCCCTGCTTAGATTATCCCTCACTAATTAACAGCGCATTAAGTGCTAATTAAAGCAACCCTAGTCCTAGCCCTAACCTATTAGTCCTATAATGTATTATATTATTATGTATTAGTCCTATAATAAGGACTAATACATGCTTAACAAATATGTAACCATCAATTATATGCGGATTAGCACTTAATTAGCTGTTAATGTGTGAGGGCTTAACTAAAGAGTGACTGGGACGGTCGGAACAGGGCATTTCTGAGCGGAGTTTGCATGTTCTCCTTGTGTCTGCGTTGGTTTCCTCTAATACTTCAAATGTACAATAGGTAAAGTCCTCAGCTCTGGTCCTGACCATGCCGAGCCTCAAGATCTGGAAATAGGTCCCCGGGCGCTGGACTAAAGGCTTTGCAGAATGAGTCAAATGCATAGGATAAATTGCCCAATGGAAAAAAATAGATTATTTTTTCAGTGGTGTTATACATATACCATATAAAAAAGTATTTTCCCAAACTGGTATCTTCCTACTTTATTAGTACATTATTCCATGTCCAGTCTCGGTCCTGTCTCCCCCCTCCCCCCTCCCCTCATCTATAAAAGTGACACTTGTGGCATTTTGTTTGGTCATTCCATTAGGACTTATCTGGGCCATTAGCAGCAGTGCGTCGTACCTGCCACCAAGACAAAACCTCACTTCTGCGTATGCTAATCTGACATTCAGCCCCGCGCTCTCGGCCGGAGTCTGAAGAATCGGTTTCTAATGTCATGTTGCGAGCCCCGAGACTGCGGGCGACTCTCAGTGTGGACAAATGAAGTGGTGAGAAATGACTTCAGATGTTTGCATTCAAATCATGCATTCAAATATAAGAATAGGTGCTTTCATGTTGGAGCCAATACGTATCCATGGGAACTCTATAAAAAATAAAATGTCCAAATTTCTCCCAGATTGTTATTTGATGATTTTACATTCACAAAGCTGCCGTATAATGTACGTATTTTCTACTAACCAACATTATGCCTATGACATCTCTATATGGAAAAATTCAGACCATTCTTGATATGTGCTAACAAAGAAGATGTGGAAATTTATGACTTTGTTTTTGTATTTTAGGGATTAGTCCAGGGATTACAGCAAAATTAGCTTGAAAGACTGATTTTTCAACTGATTTTTTTGGAGATTTTGTGACACTGAAGCAAATGTGGTAAAAGAATTAAACTCGTCATTATAACAATATGCACGAGGCAGTATTTTTCCACTACATGTTTTGGTTTTCTGAAGGGCAAGCTACTGATTGGACGGTCTCCCTTCACCATGCTGTATTATGTCAACTGCATTCTGTAACATCTTAGTTCATGCCTGTCTCTACCATCGACAATAAGAGAGAGACCAGAGAGAGCGACCAGAAAGAGACCAGAGAGAGCGACCAGAAAGAGACCAGAGAAAGACCAAGAGAGACCAGAGAGAGCGACTAGAAAGAGACCAGAGAAAGACCAAGAGAGACCAGAGAGAGCGACCAGAGAGAGGCGAGAGAGGACCAGAGAGAGCGACCAGAAAGAGACCAGAGAAATAACCAAGAGAGACCAGAGAGAGCGATTAGAGAGAGACGAGAGAGGACCAGAGAGAGCGACCCAGAAGAGACCAGAGAAAAATCTGAGAGAAAAAAGAAAGAGACCAGAGAGAAACTAGAGAGAGCGACCAGAGAGAGCGACCAGTGAGAGCAACCAGAGAGAGTACCGCAGAAAGAGATCAGAGAAAGACCAGAGAGAGACCAGAAAGTGCAACCAGAGAGAGCGACCAGAGACCAGATAGAGAAACCAGAGAGAGCAACCAGAAAGAGGCCCACTCTCAATTAGTGACTCACATGGTTTTCTCACACAAATGATGACCTGTCATTAGGGGTTTTAATAGAGTCCAATGTTGAAGGTAAATGATTACGATAATCTTTCAATATGTATATCTATATCAAACAGTTTGAACATAACAATCAGCATGACACCCTCTGCCGCAGACATTTGTGCTTTAGCTTGAAATGCTGATTGCTGTGACTTCCTGCAGTTTGGTCTCATAACCAGCTCCATGGAAACTGACACTTTATTTCTCTGAGAATTTCACTGATGTTTGAGCCATATGTTCCCCGCTCTGTACCACACACTGCACTGTTGTTTTTTAAGATCTCAAGAGCGAGAAGCACATGTTCAAGAGTTGCACTCCCAGCAAGTCTCGGCTCTGATAATTAGAAGTTTTACAAAGGCTTACATGAGGATTTACTATGGTTGTATTATACTTTGCAAATCTAGTCTATAATACTTTTTGGAAACTACTTTGTGACTGTCAGTAGCATGGTTACAATGTAGGCGTCAGAAGCTAGAAAGTCACTGGTAAGATTTGCTGGAGGAGATTAGTGGGGTTTGAGGACAGTGGTGATGATCCAGGACCATAGACTGTAAATATTAACGGACGTAGTAATGCCTATCTCTGCGGCTGAAACTAAAATGTCCCCACTTTTGACTTCTGTGGAGGGGAAATGCTAGAAAACGCATTTGCGCTTGCATTAGCCGGCATGAGCCCCACTCATTTAAAGAGTGCATTCTGAAGTCCACAGAAGCAAAACTAGACTGGTCCAATAAAGTGTACTCCGGTTCTGGTCTGTAGCTTTGGGCCAAGAGCCAAATTTGGACCATCGTGCAAAGCCGTTATCGAGAGGTAGGAAGATGCCATACAAAATAATTGGGTAATTTTCTTTCCGGGTACACCCCCACCGGCCCAGAGTGAGATTGCAAGAATGTCAGCGCACATGCTTGTGGACCTTTTGGAGCCGGGACCCGCCCCCACTGTCCAGGACATTTGACGCACAACATTATTAACCTTGCTGTAATACGTACATAACTGCTCCCATCGATGAAGTTCTGCTTTTCCTTGGACTTTCTCTTTCACTTCTGTTTTAAATTCTTCATGTTGTGCTTGTGGAGTTATTGTTTGTACTGTTTCTACCTGCATTACGACAATGGATGCAATTTAGCTATTGTGCTGCTTCCAGCATATTAATGTTGACACTGTTTCCCGACACATTCATTAGTATGTACTGTCCTAAATTTAAATTTGAAAAAAGAAATAAAATTGACATTCAATAACATTTATCAACATTTATGGACATTGATCACTGCCCCTTATGGACCAATGGCTCTAAGTGTTTTTATCATTGCATTTCCTGTGTTTGAACTGTGTGATTCTCTGATCTGTGTTGGTGAATCAACAGCTTTTTAGAGTCCTCCGAGATAACCTATAAAAGGGGCTGAATTAGAGGGCACAGGTACTGCTAGGTTTGGAGGTAAACTGTTTCTTACCGTGTCAATTACTGTGGAAAGTATTATCTTCATGTCATAGGTCATAGGGGCCAATACCTCCAAACCTAGCAGCACCTGTACCCTCTAATTCTGCCCCTTTTATAGGAGAATGGGCTCACCTCACATAACGCCCACAGCACCACCTTGTGGCTAGGGGAAGGTACATTTTGGCTCCAACAACAGCTGTGATTTAGGGCAATATACAATTTATATAATCGAAATGAAATGTAACACACCCTCACTTTCTATGCAAGTCTTTGTAAGGTTTCAAAAATGTTTTAGAAATATTTATAAATGAGTTGGCATCTATAATTGGTAATCGGTGGCAAGACGTTTGAGTCCTCCTCCAGACCATTCTGTGTGGAATTTTCACATTCTCCCCATGTCTGCGTCGGTTTCCTCCAGGTGCTCCAGTTTCCCTTTCCAATAAATAGTCCTCCATAAAAAAGTGAACTTTTTACAGCCCTAGATTTCACCTAGTATCATCTGTATATCTTATTCTTTCTTAAGCACTTGTGATCTATAAAAATCAAACCTCCTTTTGTCTCATTGGTAAAACACGTGATATCAGAGAGCAGAGGTAGATGACAAAGAGCAAATATTTTTCACACATTTTAAAATACTCTTCATTTGTATAATCATAATAATAATATGATTAGTGATTATTGCAAAAATGAATTGAATTGAATCGAAGCAAATTGAATTTAACTTTTCAATGTAAGTATCTTGCGGCTCTTTCAGTGGTTAACAGTTTTTTTTAATAGTATAAACAATGAAACAAAAAAATACATTAAAAAAATATCACAAAAAAATGAATAACAAAATTAAACAATTCAAGTTCATGTAGTCCAGTTAAGTTGTGTATGTGTGTGTGTGTGTGAGTGAGTGAGTGAGTGAGTGAGTGAGTGAGTGAGTGAGTGAGTGTGTGTGTGTGTGTAAGTAAGTAGTAAGTAAGCTTTATTTATATACCGCCTTTCACAGAGTCACAAAGCGGTTTACAATTGTTATTTTTTGGGCACTTGGACACAGAGATGGGAGCGGGGTCGCCGAACAGGAGGTGCATGCCAGACCTATTGTACATTTTTTAGTGGTAGGGGAAACCGGAGTACCCGGAGGAAACCTACGCAGACACGGGGAGAACATGCAAACTCCACTCAGAAAGGCCCTGGTCCGGCCGGGATTCGAACCCAGGACCTTCTTGCTGAGAGGCGAGAGTGCTATCCACTCAGCCACCGTGCCGCTCACCGTGTGTGTGTGTTTACCTGAGGAAGAGCTCCAGTTGTGCGTAGAGGAACCGCACCAGCGCCCGCCTCACGGTGACTTCCGCGTGGCTGTCGTTCAGCACCTGGCCCTGGTCACTCAGACACTCTCCACTGATGCATTTAGTGCCACTGGACAGCGCCACCACCTGGGCACAACGCAGGTCCAAGTCTGGGGACACACAGCAGAAACATGCAGATTTAGAGTGTGTGTCACATGAGGACTTTGTTTTAAAATGTGAAATAATTTAAGTAGGAATGTACTGAATAAACATGTATGAAGGAAATGTAGTTCCCCACATCTACCACCAGAGCGGCATGATTTTTTTTCTTCTTGAATTTGTTGTCATATCAACCCTGCAAATGTATTCTGAAAATACACTCATACTTTGTAAAACATTTTGTTTCACTGGATAAAATGTATCAAAACTATTTTGGAAGAAAAGAAAAGAAAAGGATAAAAAGCTGTATTATAATAGTAGTAATGCATCGGTTTATATATCGCTTTTTGAGACACTTAAAAACGATTCACATGGCATTATTAATTCAGTCCAAACATGGTGGTGGTTAAGTACCCCGGTAGCCACAGCTGCCCTGGGGCACACTGGAAAAAGCGACACAACCAGTCTGTACCATAATTCTCTCTGACCTACAACAGCCATTCACACTCACACCAGACTCATTCTAATGTGAAGTGTCGTGCCTAAGGACACAATGGCAGTTTGCCACCACAGCCGCCCCACTGTGGTCCCTGGTGTTCGCGGAAGTCCCCCATCATTGTATCAACCAGGCCCTGCCCTGCACAGCTTCAGGGAACTTATAGGATCAGGCTTTCACATGCAGCTTTACAATTCTTCTTGATATTGAATGAACACTTTTTAAATAAATGCACACTATCTCTCCTTCAATACAATCTTTTCAACCAGATGTCAAAGGGTAGAATATGAATCCTTTAACCTTATCCCGTGCCAAGTTTATTTAATTATAACGTCTAAATCTTTCACACAATTCCTTCATGTTAATAAATGCATCTTATATTTCTCATAGTGATTCAAACAATCCTCATCCTCAACAATAGGCAGCGCTCACACAGTATCACACAACAAAGCAATAGATCCGCTGCTTTCTCCATAAATAATTTCTAATCCGGGACTTCAAAAAAAAAAAGCAATAAAGCAATAATACTTCTATATTTGTGGACTGTATTGAAGTGGAGGTGATGTCTGGGAGGCTCGCTGTTATTGCGACGCACACTGAGCTTATCGAGTCTGCAGGCGTAGGGCAGAAGGGCAGGACTTCACATGGACCTAATCTATCCTTACTCTTTCTCCTCCTCCCCCTCGTCTTCCTCCCGCTGTCTCTGCGTAATTGCTTCTGTTTGTTTATTAATAGCAAACGTTATCTTCAAAGATCCAGGCGTGGAGTTGCCAAGTGTTGGGAGAGTCGTTTGGAGGAGGCAGGCGGACCAGCGCTGGTGCCAATCCAGTTTCCCGCTAGAGTTTTGGGTCCCAGGCACCGCTAAAGTTAAAGTAAAAGAATATATGTATAGTCCTGTTTGTTTGTTTAACGTTTGGGCAGGCAAAGACAGATTTCCAGCAGGTTTTTGTAGGGGACTAGTCTCAAAGCTAAGTTTATATTCAACTTTGAAATCAATCTGATGTAATGCCATAGAATAAAAAGAAAGTATCTCATGCTAACACGTACAGTAAGTATCTCATGCTAACATTTACAGTGGTATCTTATTCTAACAAATATACATCAGCATATTATATGAAAACATGTGACCCGGCACTTAAAAACATTAACAACATGGGAAAAGAATCAAAAGTATAAATATGGATCAGTAGTTTATAAAAATCTCTGTAGTTCCTGAAGGCCAGCGCCATGGTGGCATTTGTGTCCTGTGAGCAGATTGTCTCATGTCTTGAAGCACATCTGATGCTGTTTATCGTCTGCAGACATCCAGGGCTTTCTCGATCGATTTAAATGAGATTTTCCACGGCCGGTTTGCTTTGGCGCGGCTAATCCGGCACAGGTCGGGGGCCAAAACACCTCAGCGGGATAAGAGTGTGTGCGGGGTTCAAAGGAGGGGAGCGCTTCATATTCTGGAGCTGTTTGTGCACATTTAAGAGTCACAAGGATTTGTAGTATTTTGTTATTTTTGTCTGAATGAAACTAAAAAAAGATGATAAACATTACCTTAGCTCCTTCTACGCTATCAGGAAGTTCTGACACAAATGTACATCCCCCCACCCCTTCTGTCTAAATGCTCCTGTCTCAAATCTGTAAAGATATAGATTTGAGAAATTAAGAGATCCTTCATTTGTCACCCAGGTAAAGCACTAAAATATATCAGATCTCTAGCTTGATAAGTATATATAAGTAAAAAATACTACCACTATAGAAAACAGTTTTTTTCTGTATTAAGCTAAAGATAGATTGTTTATTTAAAAAAAATTTAAGTATAGAGTGGTACTAAACTTAATATTCACTGATCTTTTGTTGCGTGCTCCTCATACTGTTCTGTAACCTGTGACTGTGAACTATGTAACTTTTGTCCTTCATAAATGACACAAGTTGTTCGTCCCAACAGAAACATCTTGTAAAAGTAACCTGTCTTCATCTTGTCATGAAAAAACCCAAAACAACCCGCAAATCCTTACAATCTCTAATATCTACTGTACCTATTGTCTTCAACGTGTATTGGGGACGTGGGCGTAGACACTATCTGTGATGTGATTTATCTGATGTCACACAAAGGCAGAAAAGCTCAACCTGATGATGTGGAAATACTACACAGACTACTGTAAAAGAGGAAGAGAGGGACAAGGTCAAAACAACCTACAGACTTTCAAAATAAGTCTTCTAAAGTCACAGCGCAGTGCATCCAGGGCCAGAAGGACTCACCCATGAAGAGCTACACAAACATGAATCAATCAATCAATCAAAGTTTATTTGTTGAGCGCCTTTCATACACATGTGCAACACAAAGCGCTTCACAGTCCATCACCTAAAACAAACACCAGAATCACAATTAGAACATTAAAAACACACATAAATTAAAACCATAAAAACTTTAAAATTATAGAAGGAATAAAAAAATAAATAAGCACGGTGCATTAAGAAATGAGCTAAAATTCTTCAGTTGAATGCACAGTTGTCCTTGTTAACAAACAAGGACAACTTTATAAAGGAAAGAGCAGCACCTGCCACAGTCCAAACGATGATGGTGTCTCTCGTGTGACTTGTGTGTAGTTTCGTCTTCACCTGAGCTACGATACCAAGCAGCTATACAGCAGTTTGGTTAATGCTAGCCCATGTCGGTGTTGATATGCTAGCCCATGTCGCTCAGTATGTAAGGAAGAGGCAACCCTGGGTTTTTGGTCAATATTTCTGTAATTTGTAATTTTGTTTTTGTAACAGGTGGCATGTGGTCTTTGTGTAATATCCTTGTAAGCGAATGACTGGCAGACATCACTGAGTTTCTGTAATTTACAACACTTTAAAAGCATAGAATAGTCCATTTGTCCTGAATTTAGTGATTAATAAATCTCTTGAGGTTATAACAACCTGAATCGGCACATATCAAGGTGACAGATACAAACCAACAAAAGCAACTGTCTAAATGTTTTGTATTTTTGCAAAGAGAAAGTTAAAAAAAAGTCGAACCCAATTTGTGCTCAGCGATGTCTTTTTAGGAACAAAAAAGGTTGTTCCACTAAACCTTATCAAAGTCATCTTCTCCTTTCTCCAGAGGCAGGGACAGCGTCAGCGGAGTTTAGCCTGAGTGACAGCAGAGGAGGAGACGAGGACAGGGGGAAAGGACATGGGGGTAAAGTATACTGGTACAGATCATTATTAAAGCAATTCTTTTCCCACCCAAAAGCTCCGAGCGCCAGAGGAGCAGCCCAGAGCCGTGTTATCAAGCCCAGGACAGGCACCAGGACAGGCACCTCACTGATACAGGAGGAGGAGGAAAGGGCTACAAGTTTGTACTGTATATGTCACTCATTATAATTCATTTACCATATTTTCTGGATTATAAGGCTGATTATAAGGCCATCTCATGATATTGTTCCCTCAAGAAGCAGATGGGAAAACCTACATTCATCCCACAATACAGGCATTTTATTGTTGCAAGATACAATTCAAGAACAGAATATTTTTATAGCTATATCCAGGTTTTTTTTATCTATATAGATCAATATTGAATCTGGCCAAGCATCATGGAGCTTTGACGGTCTATTTAGTCCTTTTGGCCAATTTATAAGTCTACAAACTTCTACATCAAATCACTAAACTTCACCTGTGACTGCACACTAGCACGACTCATAACTTTCATATCGTTTTGAAGGCAGTGTCTTTAAATCTGCTTTATTCTTCTGTTTCTCCTCTGCTATTGCCCCGTGTTTCCCAACCACAGGTACTCACAGGTGGTACTTGATGTGATTGCTATGTATCATTAACTTACTCATTATTATTTCCAACTAACTAACCATTATTAACTGCGAACGCCTCGGTATATTCCCCTGGAGGAGCTGGAGTCTCTGCTCAGACTGCCGCCCCTGACACCCGGCAACGAACAAAGCGGAAGAAAATGGATAGATGGCTGGTATTTTTCAAGAAAATAACCACATCATATATTTGATTATTGTCCGGAATAACACCCACAGCTACATAATACAAAAGTAAAGACGATATTAAAGCCGCAAGCAGCAATCACAGCCCTTGCCGTTCCTTTCAACCTCCCAGGCTCCAGTCCCAGACTCCAAAACCCTTTCGCCTCTCGTCTCCTTCAAACCAGCGCCCAGTCCTCACACTTCATGATAGATGTAAGAGTCCCAATGTGTGGTGCAATGGCAGTTAATTAAAAACAATCCATCAAATAACCAGTTGCAAAAGTGGTGCATGTCAGGTGACTTTCTGAGCTACACGTTAGAATGACATATATGATTAAAACTTTGAATCACTCTAAAATAGGAAAACAAGCTCTTAAAAGCCCTGAAAAGGTAGTTTAGCATATTTGGTCCACTTAAAAATCTTTGGTCCATGACTGCAGGGTCTGGAGTCGTAGAATAGATGAGAAATTAGACGTATCCGACCTAATTCAAAGCATTCATAACAATCTCCATACGCACTAAAATAAACAGTGGCTGATTTATAGCTATTGCATGCGGCCTATATCTCTCCATTGTGCTTTTGAGCCAATAAATAATAAATTCAGAAAGAGCCAGGAGCTCTTTGTGCAGTTATAACATTTATGAAAAATCTCTTTTTCTGACTCTTCCTGCAACAGTTCAAAAAGGTAGACCCGGCTCGTCTCTCCTGCTTCTCTCCACCGTTCCACTTTACAATTGTTTAGATCAATTTTGCAGTGGATAATTTCTACTGCGCGGCCCGCTACTCCGCCATGAAATTGGAGCTCTGAGGTTTCCTTCAGTTTCTGCAGCAGACGAGAGAAAGATGGAAATAAAAGAGCACACAAAATAATCATTGGAATCATATAGAAGTAGATAGAGAATATGATGTTGTATACTGGAGAGGAAGTGGAGAGACGTTTGGTTTGGTTTTGGACATGACGATTCTGGCAAGATTCCAGGAAAGGCCGATTTGTGAATCATTTATCCTCATATGAAGACATTTAAATCCATCACCTATATTCAAACGTGAGCAACACATTTTGGACTTGAGAGAAATGAGACGAACTTGAACACTTGAACTTGAACACTGTTTTTGCCGAGCAGGTGCTAGGCAAAAACAAATCTGACATGAACATTGTTTAACAGATACAGTGCCTTGCAGAAGTGACAATACACACATTTCCATACACACAGATTATATTTAGGATTTTTTTAACTAAATGACTGCAGCAAAGTAACAGACAACTGGGCAGTGAAAGCAAAAGGATACGTGATTTTTTTGAAACATGTTTTCCAACAAAGTCATACCCAATGCCAACTGTGGTTACACAGTTCTCAGGCAATAAGTTAAATTCTACTTTTTTGTCCCTATGGGGAAATTGTTTCTCATTTGAGCCATCCTGTAATGCCTCAGGAGCAGTGAACGCCATAGTCCAGTGTCCGGGGCCAATCTCCAGATATGAAGGCTCTTGGTCAGGACTTTAGCTGGAGGATTTTACCTGTCATACATGCTTTTAGTGGTAGTTGTAACCGAAGCACCCTGTGGAAACAGGGTGAGAACATGCAAAATCCACTCAGACCAGGATTCAAACCAGAAACCTTTTGTTGAGAAGCGACAGTGCTAATTGGAGTGTGACTCATGTATGAAGAGAATGGATAATGCCATGAAAGCATCTTTAAGTGCCGGCAAGTTCAGAAAAGAATCCCTGCCTTGTATCCCGCGACAAATACGCACAGGTTCAAGTCGTACTGTCACTTTCACACTGTAGTAGCGTTCATATGTTGTTCTTATTCTGGACTTTAAACATGATCTGTAAATACTGGCCATTTCAGAAGTTTAAAAACATGTCCCAAAGATACAGAAACAAAAATACAGCACCAGCCGGTTACTATTAAGCCCTGCATTTTGAAGATGGCGGCCCATTAAGTCAATGGCCTGTGCTCAATGTTGGCTGCCCAAAAAGTTTATGGAAGACGAGCATTCAGCCTCGTTCTGGTCCTCTCGGGACAGACAGTAGTGTGCAGTGGTGCAACCTCCATGATACCTGAACGTTCTGATCTAATTAGAGAGGGATGAGTGTGGATTTATTAAAGTTAGTGTGTAAGTAAGTAAGGTCATCATACAGGAGGTACAGGGAGAACATGCAAACCCCACACAGGTGAAAATGGAACCCAGGACCTTCTTGCTGTGAGGCATAAGAACTAACCATTGCGTCACCGTGCTGCCCAAATAGAGATTAAAAACAAAAATGAATGATTACAAAGGAGAGGAAAGACCACGCAGAATTGTAAGCAGAATAATACATTAACGTCAGCATTATTCAGAGAAACAGAAGTTGCGAGCGATCATTTTTGAAATCCCGATTATTCTAAAATGGAACATAAAGAGTAAGTGATTGCTGGTAAAGGGTTGGAGCAGTGGGCAGCAGTGGAGGACCCTCAGACCAGTGGCTTTATCTGTA